GGTTTGGGGTTTAGGGTTTGCAAGCTAGTACGAGGGCTCTTTTGCGGTCCATGGCTTACAGTTCAGGGGTAAGGGGGCTTGGTGGCTGTTTGTTTGGCGATTCCCCTAAACCCCAAACCTCAAACCCTAAACCCTTAGGAGATGTTGGTGAAGGGGTCTGTGGACTTTAGGTCTGGGGATTCAGAGCTTACGGCTGCGTAGATCTTCATCGCCTCAGGACTGGCGCTTCGAGGATTTGATGGGTTTAGGGTTTAGGGTTTAGGGTTTGGGTTTAGGGGGGTTTAGGGTTTAGGGTTTAGGGGGGTTATAAGTAGCACTGCAAAGCGGGGCAACTAGAGTTGCAAGTGGTATTGAAATCTGAAACCAATCAAGTACCGCAAATAGACCCTCAACACCTGAACCCTAAACCCTAAACGGTTGAGGGGTTCCCAGATCCACCACTGCAGAGTCTGCAGAGGCCTGAAACTTTACTGATCACGTCTCCCTCTAGTCCCTGTATGACTAGGCGGTCTATGCGCCTATTCTAAGAACTCAACGTGTCTGCGCTGAACCCTACGCCCTATCGTGTTAAGGGTTTAAGAAAACAACTGAAGAGCCTTTGCGCAACTGTGTCCTGAAGCCCAAATTCCCAGCGCAAAGCTCCTCAAGTGAGGCCCAACACCCTGAAGCCCCGAAAGAGTTATGAACTGAACCAGAGCCACCTTATACCCTCCCAAACCGAACCCTACAAAAACCCTAAACCCTAAACCCTAATACCCTAAACCCTAAAACCCTGAACCCTAAAACCCTAAAACCTAAACCCTACAAAACCCGAAACCCTAAACCCTGAACCCTACAAAAGCCCGAAACCCCACGCCCCCCCCCCCTTCCCCCCCAAGGAGGCCTTCATCTTCCCGACCCCCCAACTCTCCGGCCGGCCGTTGCGGAACCTTTCCCTCGGCGCAGGGCTCAGGGGCTCCGCGCGTTTCAGGCTTTTGGGGCTTAAGGGGTTTAGGGGTTTAGGGTCTATTAGGGTTTAGGGTTTATTAGGG